ATTTTATCCTGGGATTACTCCCAGAATAGGACCCTTACCATTCGGGGTGTTCTTACTTTTGACCCCAAGTGGGTAACAGCCCTTTGCCCCTCTGATCCCACAGCTCAAGTCAAGACACTGAAATTAGAAGGCGGATCCTGGGGGAAGGTCAGCGTGGTGTCCCCGTCACCGTCCCCCCCAAGGGGGAGCCCTCACTGCCCGAGGAGGAGGGGGAGCAGGCCCTGACTCACTGGAAGCCCCTGCTGGTCAGCGTGTGCATGGTGACGGTGCTCACGGCTGGAGCGTACCTCTGCTACAGGGCATGTTTTCACTGATGGACGTGCTGGCCAGACGGCGTGTGCAGAAAGCCCGGCGGTCACCCGCTGTGCAGGACTCAGTTCTGTGGCAGGGTCTGAGCCAGGTCTTAGCAGAAGCAGATGAAAGGTCTTTAAGTCTGGAACTGTGGAAGGGCTGGAAGAGAGAAGCGAGGGTTGATGCACTCGGGGGTTGATGAGCCCTGTGGTCCCCAGGATACACGTGTCTAATCTCAGGGCCTTAACCTATTCAGGAGTAAGTAGAAAAATGCCAAATACGTCTCTCTCTCTCTTTTTTTTTTGTTCATTTGTTTTTGGAAAAAAAATAATAATAGAATTACAACACATTGTTGTTTTTAACCTTTATAAAAAGCAGCTTTTTGTTATTTCTGGGGGAAAAAGACTAGGCACTTAGGCAACATTCTTGACCCCTTAGTGGTGTCATCAGATACACGGTTTATGTTCGAATTCCCAGGGAAGACTCCCCGACGGTGGCGAATGTAGCTCCTGTGAGGACAGGGTTGGGGACAGTGCCACGCCCAGTCACCTGGCTGCTGTGTGCAGGTGGCTCTCCGGACAGTGCCTGGGGCCCTCCCATCTTAAGAAGAAACCACCCTGTTCCTGCTTTGGTTCAGGGTACCCCAGATGGTCTCCTCTTGGTGTTTCTCCATGGACCCCTCCTCATTCCAGTCCCCTTCCCATGCCTGCCATCCCCATAATGGCTGATTCCCACCATGGAGTCCATCCCATTTCCACCTTGCTGTCAGTGTCTGGGTGACCAGCTGCCATCTCTGTCCCAGTCCCCACGTTAGGAATGGTTCCTGTCCAAGTCCGAGAATGGAGAGTGTCCGTGGGAAGCCCCTCAGGACGTTCACGATCACCTGCCCTTCCACTTCCGGGCCCACCTGCCGGGAGCGCATCATGTGGCTTGGCAGATGCAGACCAGCCTTTCCTCGGGTGCTGCTTTTAGGGGAGCGCTTGTAAAAATCCAAACCCCTGCCTCAGCGGTGGCCGGGGGAGGTCCCTCGAGACGGGAGGCTCTGCAGGTGTGCCTCCTGGGCTCATCTGAGAATAGCGGGTTCATTCCAGTTTCTGTTCGACAGCAACACATAATCTGAACCCCTTCCATCCCCCATTCCACCCCTACCCCCCACCTCCTCCCCCACTCCCACCCACTGCCCACCTCGCTCGTAGTACCTGCATCTGGCTTGCAGGCTCACCGCGTTGGGTGAGGGCCCACCAAGACTGACAGAGGCTTGTTCTGCACTAAACCTACCCTCACCCAAGCTTCTCCTCTGACCCGTGGTCCTTTTACTCTTTCTTCCCTCCCATCCCTTCCTCCAGCTACCAAATCCGCAACCCATTTTTAAAGGAGAGTGCTGGGCTGGTGACACCTTACAGAGGTGACCTGCCAGCAGCCCTGCCCCCAGCCCTGGGGCTCACCCTGCCCCCACGCTCCCTCACGGTGCGCCCACCTGCATCCCCAGCAGAGAGCACGCCACGGCCTCCCTGAGACCTTGATGGGGTCTGTGGTTAGCCACCATGCCATATTTATTTTTTACTTTTTCCCCCACAGGTGTCTACAGTGCACTAGCATTTTCTTAAACCAATAATGTATTAAATTTTTGATGTCAGCCTTGCATCAAGGGCTTTATCAAAGAGTACAGGAGTAAATCCTCAGGTAGTACTGGGCACGTGCGACTCCGCGGGCTGCTGCGTCGGCCCAACTGGGAAGGGGGACGCTGCAAGCAGCTGTTGCTTAGTGCCGTGGTGGGTAGTGTGAGGAGCGGTTTGGCACGTGTCTGGAGCGGTGTGTGATATATAGTGGACACTTGAGTATTTCAGATCCAGGACAGGGACTCTCGTGGTCCCAGTTCTCTTCCCCACTCTGCTAGAACTTGTTCTCAGTCGTCGCTTTCGCTCTGTGTAGTAGAATGCATGTAAAGGTGTCCCTGTGTCCTGATCAAATACCACACGCTTGAACGGAGAAGCGCGTATTTCTGCTTACTGACGCCCCACGTTCAAGTCCAGTCTCCCTGCGCACGACCTGAGCATCACGTGACGGTGGCTGAAGGCACGCCGCAGTCGAGGGACGTTTTCCAGTATCAGCCATTTACCTAATTCCTGGCGTGACACTCTGGTGACTGCTTGGGGAGGTCCAGCCTGTCCTGGTCCAGCTGGTCTCACTGTAACTCACATTCCAAGGGAATATGGGAAGCCATATTCACACCTTCACTCTGGACATTTAGGCCAGCAGGGTCATCCCCACAGACCTTTGGGATCAGCCTCCACTCTTCCAAGGCCCCATTCATCTGGAGCAGACTGGGTCTTGGGACCAAGGCAGCTGGCAGGAACTACCGCCCGGAGGACAGTCCCTTAGCGTCTGCCCGCTGCGTCCCAGGCCCTTGCTGGGACATGTACGTCTGCCCTGCCCTTGAGCCCTGTGGGGCCTGACGGTGCTCACACTCCCCCTCCGAGGGGACTGACAACCTCCACATTAAGTGGCTTTTCTAACAAGAACCGACCAGGCAGCTGTAGCTCTGAGCTGCTTTTCCTGCCAGCATCTTCACACTTTGCCTTTCAGGTGTTTCAGATTGTGAGCGGGGAGCCGTGCCCCGCCGAGCGCCGGGAGGTTGTGGCCAAGGTGCCAGGCTGGATGCGTTTCTGAGTTGGGCTTGTTTGTTTCTCAGTCCTGTATATGTATGTGCTAGTCTGGGTGTGTATATATGGTAGCATTGCAAATGGGTATACTGGTTTAACCTCCTGTCCTTGGAAACCGATGGCTCTCCGTCTCGCTCTGCGTCTGTTAGAGAGTTAGCGAGCTGCTCTGCTGTATGCCTTAAGCCCATACTTACTTACCAGGTCATTATTTTTTACAATGGCCATAGAATAAACCATTTTTACAAAATTAAAAAAAAAAAAGTGTTTTGGTATAATACCTTTTCAGGTATGTGTACACATGGGTGCATGATGGGGCTGGGGGGGGGGTGTCTCAGGGTCTTCTGTGGCCTCACAGAGCTGTCCAGCTGTGCAGTTTTCCAACCTGCCATATCAGTGATGGGTTTGCATTTCAGTTGCAACAATAAAAACGTTTTTCTAAAAAACATGCATTTGGGGTGCTTCCCATTTCTTTGTTTACTGGACCTAAACGGGGATGGGCAACCCCTATGCCTTTCCATTCCTCCTCGTGTGAAACACACGTTGGCAGTCAGGTGGGGTGGTATTTTCTACATCTTAGGATGATAGCAGCTTCCTGGAGCTCTGTGTACCTTTGGGCTGGGGTAGCTTTCCCTGACTGGGCTGCAGCTTCAGCACCTCAACCCTTGTCCTTCAAAAAAACACCCTTTGGATATGTATATATAGGACTCATGAGTAACTCAGAGAAGTAGTTTGAAGAGCTGTTTTCAGTCACGGATGCGTCTTTTAGCCAGCCGCCGTGAGACACGGTGGTTACCACATGCCCAGGGTATGTACGCCCAGGGGACCCACTGTTTCCAGTGGATCAGAGAGTCCCAACTGATGCAGAATTGAGTGAAAAAGACAGACTGTAGAGAAAATGAGTGTAGTCTTCCTTGTATGTTCAAAATCAAATCATGTCAGTGCCCCTAAGTTGTTTTTAACTCTTTGGGAAAACCTGCAGGCTTACAGAAGGGTACCGTTTTCCCTTACGTGCTCCAGGGTCTAGATGCTGAGTACACTGCTTACCTATGACTGGCAAATACAGGCTCCGGTCAGGTGAGCACGGAACGCTACACAAGACTGAGGAGGAACGTCACAGCCACTGGCACACTGAAATCTTTGTTTGGATATTTAAAAAAAAAAAAACCAAAACATGGCATCTAAGCTTTCACAAAGAGGTGGAACAGCAGTGTGGAGAAATAACCCCATTTGTAACTCTGGAACAGAAATGCGTGGGGGAGAAAGCCCTGCCAGGTGGTGTTCTGTGGGAGCGGGCATGCGGGGACTCCTGAGAGAGAGCAGGGCCCGGTTCCAGCCGCAGAGCTCACAAGGCGACCCGCTACTAGTGGGGAGCGTGCTCAGGAACAGGGGGTGGCCGTCCCCCAGCGGGCCCACTGGGACAACCACCCCCAGTTCTTTTCTCAGATAAAATGAAACGCCGCTGAAAATAGTTTTTCAATTGAAATTTCAGAAAACTAGATTATACAGAAGGCAAATAAATACTCAAAGCACAAAGTATGGACAGGAAGTTTAAATGAGAAGTTAAGTTAAAAAGCTCTTCAAATGCCACTGTTGCAAGCAATATCCAAACCCCAGACGCTCTGTTTTCACACAGAAACACCTCCGAGCATTCTGAGGCATTTGTATACTTAAATAGAATAAGGGTTTTCTTTCTTTATCATGCTCTTCAGTGAACTCCCCTCAAGCAGTTACAGAACTGGCCCGAAACTGACTTGTTTACAAAGTTGGGCCCAGTTTGGTTAGTTCCTGTGGTGACACTCAAGGCCCCACGGTTCACCGTGACTCGGAGTGTAGACGGGAAGGCCGGGCCTGTGTACCCCTGCCTCCCCCAGCTCTTGGAGGTGACAACAGCTGGCTGCTGTTAAAGTGACTCGAGTCCTTTCCTCGGTTGGCTGGCCTGCCGCCTGTCACAAACGCCATCCGCACGCTATTTATTGAGCCAGAACTGCTGACCCAGCGATGGGAAGAGAAGCTTCGAGTTCAACACGTTCTAGGCCTTGACTTGCCTGGCCTTGGGCCCCTTTGCTGGCACGGCCAGCTGGCGCCGACACAGCTCTGCATCCCTGGGGAAGGTCAAACAGATTCTCAAAGCCAAAGACACAAACGTTCGAGTCGCCCGGCCTGCCAAGTGCGCTTCGTTTTCATTTTCCGCTTCTGCGTAAGAGCCCTACTTGTGCCTCGGGCCTTTGAGACTGGCCCTGAGCCTCGGGCCAGCCCTGGTGGCTCACACAGTGGGCCAAGACGGCAGCACAGAAGAGGCCGGAGAAGAGCCCATCAGCCGAGGCTTTTTAAAATACTGTGATTTCCACATCCGCCTCCTGGCAGAAGGCTTCTCTTTGTTGGGAGTTAATTTTGTCCATCTTCTCAAAAGCCAAGCGCCCTTTTTCACCTGAAATAGCAAGATCACGTGTCACTGGGCTGCCTGCGCTCTGGTGTTCCCCACCCTGCAGGCTTTGGTGGCTTTAGTACTCACTAAAGCAGGGCTCGGGAGCTCTGGTAGCATAGTGGCTAAGACACTTGCCTGCTAACCAGAAGGCTGGCGGTTCAAACCCACCAGCCACTCCTCGGAAGGAAGGTTGGGCAATCCTACTTCTGTAGTGATACTGCCTCAGAAACCCAAGGAGGGGTCGCTATGAATCGGGTTTGACTTGACGGCACATAACAACAACAACAACAAAGCAGGGCTCACTCTGGTAGCACAGTACCTAAGATACCTGACTGCTAGCCAGAAGGTTGGTGGTTCAAACCCACCAGCCACTCTGTGGAAGCAAGACTGGGCAATCTACTTCTGTAAAGATTTACCGCCTCGGAAACCCAGCGGGGGTCGCTATGAGTCGGAATCGACTCAACGGCAGCGGTTTTTGCTTGGAGGCGGGGGTCATAGGGGCCACCAGGAAAGGAGCAGCGGGGCAGAAGCATTTGGGGCACTTCCGCCTGGCAGCCCCCATGGGCCCAGGGCCTAATCTCCACATCTAGACAGCAGCTGCTGAATTTTAAGCCTGCCTTACATCTGGCTTTTGTTCACCAAAGTTCATAAACAGAAGTTTGAGCAGAAAATAATGCCCTTCCTGCTACCTCAGCCCTGAAGGAAGTCTGCATTGGCCAAAATGCAATTACAGGCATACCTCATGTTATTGCTCTTCACAAATCACATTTTTTTGCAATTGAAGGTTTGTGATAACCCTGCATCCAGCAAGTCTGTTAGCACCATTTTTCCAACAGCATGTGTTCACTTCGAGTCTCGGTGTCAGCTGGTAATGGTCATGATATTTCAGACTTTTTCACCATGCTGTTGCACGCTTAATGGACTAGAGTGTAAACTTAGCTTTTACCTGCACCAAAAACTTAGTGACTCGCTTGTTGTGATATTCACTTTATTGCGGTGCTCTGCCACCCAACCCGCAATATCTCCGAGGTATGCCTGACCACGTGGAGGCTGACTCCGCATGGGGGTTGCTGATGGAGCCCATGGTGAGCGATGGCTGGCGCCAAGCACCTTAGCACGGCATTTGCAAGGGCTCCGGGACCACAATGCACTGCCCGCGACCTCGGACGCACTACTTTACCGAACGACAGTGTGGCCTCCCGAGCTGCTGCCCGCACCGCCTCCAGGTCCGACTGGCACAGGCTGGCGATCTGGTCGATGCTTTCGATGCCCTGTGTGAAGTTGGAGGGAAGGAGGGTCTATTAGGAGCCGGCTACTTCAAGGGTAGAATTCACCATTGTAGGCCTGGCAGGCCCAGCCCTAGCAGGTCCCTGGGGCCTCTGCCCCTTCCTAGTCTTGAGGCTTCCAGGGCCCTTATGTGGCCTCGGATCATCAGAGGCATCACCAGAAGTGTCTTGTCTTTTTGGTCCTGATGCCTGCCAGCCAGCCATGTGATCAGCAGGGCTTGTGTCTGTGGATGCCTTCTGCAAGGCCTGGCTTACAAACGAGACCTGCTTTCCTCGGACCTTCCTGCCTGCCCTTGATCTCCAGCTCAGATATGAGAGGCAATGGAGACCTTGTGGGTGCAGCGGACCGCCTGGCTGCACTCCTACAGGGTCGCACTGGCCAGAGGGCCCTTCAGCCCCCTCTGCAAGCCCCCTCACCTCTTTCCAGCTCTTTGATTACAACCAGATGGTCTGCGTAGAATTTCTTGTTGGCTCATTCCAGAATGAACAGGGTGAGTCAGTTTAATCAGTGTGAATTATTTTTCATCAAGCAAATTGGCAATGATTTTTTAAAATGGGAAGTCCAGATGCAGGTGACGCTGAGCTAAAATGGCCCGTGGGTGTGCAAATGGGTATTCCGTGTCAAGAATCTCAACATGTTCATGGTCCTGGCTCTGGAGGAACATTTGAGGAGTATGGCCTAAGAAAATCACTCTGGACTCTATGTTAATGCAAAAAAGCTTTGTGTACAAAAATGCTTATAATGACAGGAACAAAAAGGGAAAGAAGTATCTAGGTTTTCTATAATGTGAGGGTGGAAGTAGGTAAAATTTATAGTGTACACTTTTTCACCCTTTACAAAAATCACTACTCATCTAACAGGAGTTCTGGTAGCATAGTGCCTAAGGCACTTGACTGCTAACAAAAAGGCTGGCGGTTCAAATCCACCAGCCACTCCTCGGAAGGAAGATGAGGCAATCTACTGCCGTAGTGATACTGCCTCGGAAACCCAAGGAGAGGTTGCTGAGTCGGGTCCGACTCGACGGCACATAACAACAACAACTCATCTAACACACAAAGTTCTTTTGTTTACTGTGTTTAAATTATATAGAATATCATCAAGAATTTTAAACGTACAGATCCTCCTTGGAGAGATCAACCATGGGAGAATAGAAGAGCTGTGTGTGCACAGGGAGACAGCTTGGGGAGCAGGAGTGCATGGAGGGAAGGACACAGGGAAGAGGCAACTATGGGGAGGAGGTGGGAGGAGAGCTGTTGCATTGTGGGAAATTGCAGTCAATGCCATGAGACAAAGTGTATGTGAGCTGCTGTTTGGAAAGTGAATTTGCTCTGTAAACTTCCAGCCAAATCACAATACAGCAACAAATTACAATAAAAAAAAAAGTAAATGTACCTACTGCATATGTATAAACAAAAGACAAATACACTAATGTCAGCAGTAGTTTCTGCTCAGTGCTGATGATAGGTAACTTCCTTTGCATTTCTGTATAAGACTTTTTTTTTTTTTTTACAATGAATTAATCGTACTCTTTATAAAGCTTTGTTTTTCATTGAGAATTCTCAAGCACATAATCCCAGAGCCCAGAGGTGAGTGCAGGGGTCACCCGCTTGCTCCAGGCTGTCTCCCTGGGGCCAGGGGCAGGGCTTGGCCCAGAGCAAATACTCCCTAAACTGTGGAGATTTTCCTGTCGGTCTCTGCTGGCGGCAGCTCCTCTGAGGCCAGTTCTTGAGTTGTTTTTTCTCTCTTGATGGTGTTCTTTTTCCCCTTTTTGGTCCCAGTGGGATCATTATGCAAATGAGTTCTAATGTGAACCACCAGCAGGCTTCCCATCCCCCACCAGCCAGGAAACGCTGCCTTACCCTGAGGTGTCTGAGCGCCACACATGCGGCTTGCTGGACTTTGGGGTCACTCTGGGTCAGGGCGTCGGTGTAGAAGACCAGGGCCTAGGAGAGAAGGTTGCGGGAACTGGCGGGCGAGCGCGGGAGGAGCGCAGAAAAGCAAGTCCCGGCTGCCCGGCCGGCATTCTCTCCCGGACAGTAAATGAAGCACCCTCCGCCTTCTTCTTAACAAAGATCATCTCGCCAAGGGCAGGCAGTCGTGAGATGTTTGCAATTCTGACCTCCAAGCGGTTTTTTTTTTTTTTTTTTCCTGGCTGACTGGGTCACTTGGCTCAAGCAGTCTGACTGCAATCTTGAGATGGTGATAAAATGAGGAAAGATCTTTTTGTCTAGCAACTGTTTTCACACATGCATCCTGCAACTGCCGTGTATTTCAAACGCTAAGTCCAGAGAAAGCAGAGAGGGCCAGCGTGGAAAACAGAAGTGAGCACACAGGCTGAAGACCGCGAGGCCGCTGCCTGGAGGGAGGGGCTGCCTCCCCTCACCTCCCTTCCTGGTGTCAGCTCGGCCCCACCTCCTTCAGCCCGACCTCAGCCACGGCACTCCACGTCTTTGGGCCTCCCTGGACTCAGCTGGGAAACAAAGCGGGCCCGTAATTCTCAGGGTTGTAAGGGTTCTCTGTTAAGTGTGTGCGCAGGTGCCGGGCCCACAGTTGAATCCAACCTCCAGGCCTGTAAAGGGCCAACCTGGGAGCGAGTATGTGCCCACTCTTGGTTGACGGCCACACTTCGAACTGCGAGGGTAAGGAGATCAATACCTTACCAGGTGCCAGGGTCTGCTCTGAGGGACCAGCATCTGCGCTTAGCATTCAGTGCACCCCACAAAATGAGGGAGCAGAATGGAATACTGTGCAACACTAAAGAATAATGTAGAATCTGCAAAACACTGCATATGTGGAGGAACTTGGAGGACATTATGCTGAGTGAAATACGTCAGTCACCAGAGGACAAAGTATTAATTAGTTCATTATTGTAAAAAGTCAAGGAAACGTTTATATATGGAAGGAAATTTTCTTTGTTGGTTACCAGGGGTGGGAAGGAAGGGGAGGGAACACTGCAAAAAGAAATCAACAAACAAATAAGCAAACGGCTCTTCCAAGGAGGCACTCTAGTGCCTAAGGCATTTGAGTGCTAACCAGAAGGCTGGTGATTCAAACCCACCAGCCACTCCTTGGAAGGAAGATGGAGCAATCTGCTTCAAACCCACCAGCCACTCCTTGGAAGGAAGATGGAGCAATCTGCTTCCGTAGTGATACTGCCTGGGAAACCCAAGGAGGGGTTCCTATGAGTCAGATCTGACTCGACGGCAATGAGTTTGGTTTGGTTTTTTCAGTGCCTGCCCCTGGCATAGGGCGGTAGGGAGAGCCCTTCATTTGCAGCAGTGTGGCACCATCTCCTCCCTGTTGCTAACAGTAAAGCAGAGGGTTGTCACGCAGCCCTGCTCCCTACAACACAGGCTGGAGGCTCTGTCCACATGCAGGCTGTTATGGGGTTTAAAGGTGCGTGCACGCCACCCACACCCAAAAACAACGGGCCTGAGTCCTGGAAGCCTTTCGATCCAGGAAAATCTAGACACCACAGGACAGATAACCCGGTTTCTTCAACAAATAGTTTGCAAGGGAATAAAGGGATGGAGAGAGGACCATCAGATCAAAAAGGACGTTGTCTTCTACACACACCGACTTCATTATTTACAAGTGAATAAGACGTCTAGGATTTGCTTCAAAACCACACGGGTGCACAGTGGGTATGGGGTTGGGAGGGACGGGCCACTGCTGGTGGTGGCTGGCCTTGGTCCTAAGAGCTTGTGCATCCATTCTATTGTTCGGTCCATTCAAAATTCTCCAAATAAAGAGTGAAACAGTACCGACCACAAATACATGTGCTCTTCGGGGACTGTTAGAAATGCCACTGCAGGTTCTCTCTCAGGCTGAGACCAACGGAGACACTGGAGCTCTAATACTGCCCCTCCCTGCCCACCTCAAGGGCTGTTGCCTTAAATCTACAGTGGACACAGATCCGATAACCCAAGAGGTGACAGGGTCCAAGCTTTGATTTTCAAGTGGACCAAACACAGCAGGCCATCGTGAGCCAGTCACGCATGTTAGCTGTAGTCGGTGCTGTCAGCACCCTAGGAAAGAAACATTCACCACGCAGGTGATGTCCCAGAGACCAAATGTGTTCTGCTTTGGAAACACAGAGGTGGTTGAACGCGCAGCGCTGGTTTCTGTGGGTTTGTCAGGTGGCAGCTGCCTGGCACCCCCATCCCAGTCCAGGCGCCTCCCATAGGGCTGCTGATGGCAGGAGGGGGGCTGCACTTGTGTTTGGTCACCTCAGCACATCCATAAATCAAAGGTCTCTGCAGGAAATACAGCCCCGTCTCCCGCTCTATTTCTCCTCGTCCCACTCACACACCTGTGGCCAGGGGCTGCCACCGCCCGCCCTACCTTTTCCCGGAAGCTTTTGTTCCTGGCTGCGCTGGCCAGGCGCGCGCTGGCCACCTTGCACACGCGTGGGGGCCCGTCCAGCTGGAGCAGGGCCCAGGCGAGTAAGGTCTGGGGCAGCGGCTGGAGCTGGGCCAGCCGTTTCCCCTGCAGCTTCTTGACCGTCCTGGCCTGTCCCATGCACTGCAGCTCCTCAGCTAGTGTCACTGGAAGAGAGAAGACGGCCCAGGGCCCCTGGGGCTGGGGTCGCATGTGCAGTAGCCACTTCTGCCTCTAGCCTTTTGAGATACAAATCCCAGGCAAGCCACTATCTGGATTCGTTTCAAGGGGTCCTCCTCGAAACTCTCGTGAGATTTTCCAGCAAGGGATCAAATACCCCCTTGAAATGAATAAAACCACAGCCCCCACTCACAGGGACTCTGGAACCCTCACATCCAGCCCTGACCTCTGTTCCCCACTTGCCAAAGCACCCGGCCCTGGGAGCTAATTTCCCCACTGGCTGGATGTAGAATCCAATTAAATCTGGGTTCTCAACAGAACGGCTGCAGGGCAGCGATGAAGTAATTCTGATTGAAAGCCTGAAGGAATGGCTGGCTTCTGAGAGCCAGGGGAGCGTGACCTGTGACCCCGTGGGGTACCTCTGCTCCCCCGCTGTCCGAGGCCACCTGCCCCAGCTGTACCTTCCTTGGTGAGCTGGGCGAAGTGCTTCTCCAGGTCAGAGACACTCTGCCTCTGCAGGTAGCCGTGGAACTGGAACCAGGTGACAGTCTGCTCCTCCTTGGGCCCCGCCCCAGGGAGCAGTCCCCCGCAGCTGAGCACCTGCTCCAGCAGCCTGCGGCACACTGGGGGACAGATGGCCGGCAGCGTGAGGCCTCGCCCTGGAGGGACGCAGAGTCCCTGGCAGCCAGTCAGCCAGGCTAAGCCCCGGTCAGTTCTAAGGCCTTGCCTATGGGAGGAACCAGAACTGGCGTGAGTTGTATATGCCAGCTCAGGACCGCAGGCCTTGGGCAGAGAGTCCATATGCCTGGGCCCACCCTGCACCTGAATCTGAATCCCTGGAGGTGGGGCCTGGGAACATGCATGTCCATAAAACCCAAAACCAAACCCATTGTCGGCAAGTCATTCCGACTCATAGTGACCCTGTAGGACAGAGTAGAACTGCCATGGGGTTTCCAAGGCTCTAAGTCTTGATGGCATTGATGGGAGCTCTGGTAGCATAATGGCTAAGGCACTTGACTGCTAACCAGAAGGCTGGCAGTTTAAACCCACCAGCCACTCCTCAGAAGGAAGATGGGGCAATCTACTTCCATAGGGATACTGCCTCAGAAACCCAAGGAGAGGTCGCTATGAGTCGGGTCCGACTTGACGGCACATAACAACAACAACAAGTCTTGATGGAAGCAGACTGCTTCATCTTTCTCCTGCACAGTGGCTGGTGGGTTCCAACTGCCACCCGGGTACGTAATGACTGTACCTCCAGCGCTCCTTGCATGTCCACAAGCAGTCGCTAAAGTCTGAGAGCCATGGCCTGGAGCACCACCGCCTGGCACCCTTCAGTTGTTCAACAGGGAAGAGACCCATCTCTGCGCCCTGGGACCCGTCCCACCACCAGCCTCCAACAACTCCTTTGGCAGGCCTCCCTGCCTCCTGTCGTTCGTTCTTAAAGGTTCTGGTGGCTGCGCTGCACTCAGTCCCCCTCATGTTTGCCTGCAGATTCGGGGTTTCACACACACACACACACACACACACACTGACACACACACACCCGCCAGGGTCCATCTGCAGAGGCCACTCCCTCCCCGCCATGAGCTGGGAACCATCCACCCAGGCCAGGAAGATAGAGGGGAAGGTGGGGCCACAATGAGGCCTTGGCGTGGCCACAGTGAAGGCCCCAAAGGCTCTGCACAGTGTCTGGGGGTGGGGTGGGAGGGAGGTACCTATTTCCAGCTGCCCTGGGTATTTCCCTCGGACCCGGTGCAGGAAGGTTTTCTTCAGCTGGTTCAGTAGCACTGTCGCGGGGCAGGACAGGACCCTGCCAGGCCCCGTGCACCCTCTCCACAACTTCAGACACCCCTTCCTCCGCGAAGCCTGCGGAATGACTGAGGGCCCAGGGTCAGAAAGCTGACGGTGGGCAGGGAAGATGCTCCTCCACTAGGACCTGGGGACCTCCTCCACGGGTCCCTTGTCATGTCACAGCGGGCCACACGGAACTAGCAGCTGCGGCTCTGAGGACCTTAGCCAGGTTGCCACCTCCAGTCCAGAGGCAGTCGCTGTCACCAGCCTCTCCTACAGACAGCCAGGGCTTCCTCCTGAGGGGGAGGTCGTGTGCCCGAGGCCTCTGGGAGTTCTGGGAATATTTTGTTGAGCCCTGTCCACTGGCTGCCCACTAGACAGAGGAAGCTGAAGCTCCCAGAGGTCACAGTGGTGACCCCAAGGCAGCCCAGCCTCCCTCCCACCCCGCCATGGTGTTTGTGAGCTCAGTCCAGCCCAGCCACCACCCCACTCCCACCGTCTGGCTCCAGAATCCCTCCATCACTCCATGCCATTCACACGCACAGCCCATGGGTGGTGGACAGTTACTTACTGTCATCAATGGATGTCGCCTTGCTGACCTTCTCAAAATCAAGCACAGAAAGTGTCTCCAGAACCTGCTTCTGCTCAACCGCTTCTTCCAGGAGGCACTCCTCAACCACCCTTGACAAATTAGGGGAGGCCAGTTTCTGGGAAGAGGCCCAACGATGCTCCAGGTTAGAGCGGAGATGCTCTCCGAGGTTACCATCACATCTGGTTCCCACCTGCCCTCCTGTCCCAGTGGGAGTCGCTTGACTTTCATCTGGGGACCCTTGCTCCCTACTCTCAAGTTTCTCTGCCTAGAAGCGGACCCCACACAGATGCCAGCCAATCATCACACTCCTTCCCACAGGTCACATGATTGGTGCCTGAATGGAGCATGTAGCTCAGCCAGAACCAGGAAGGTTCTCTCCTCGGAATTCAGCTACAGACACTGCACAAAATGACAGTCTCTTCACAAAGGTGGCTGACCTGGCAGGAGGCAGGCTAGACCCACCAGGGCCCCCTCTGCCTTCAGAAGGGGCTGGCCTCCTTGAAAATGAAGCCAGCCCACACAGAGGACAGCAAAGCTGAGGGAGAGGCCTGGAGGTGATGACATTTGAACTCCTGGATCCAGCTGGGCCTGAAACCGACTTCAGTCTTTCAATCACATGAGTCAATAAATGCCCCCTTTAGTTAAGCCAGTTTGGATGGGGTCGTTTTATTGACAACAGCCACAGCCTTCGGTCTAGGACTTGGACTGCATAGGCGTGACATGACAGCTCACCCACACCACCCACAGAGGAACTTCCTCGGTTTCATGTGACCTCAGGGGCAGGCCTCTCCCTGAAACACACGGTCCAGCCACCTTCCAGGTCAGCCCTCCCCCCGCCCAGCCCCTCAGCCACCTGCAGCAGGGCTTTGCAGACATGAAGGTGGGCCGTTAGCAGCACATCCAGTTCTGGGGCGCCAGCCGTGAGCTCCCTGGACGATGCCTTTGGCGATGGCGGCTGGGCCGGGGCCCTGTCCTTTCTGAGTTGGATTGAGAAGAACTGGGTGACATTCCAGTTAGCAGGTCAGCTCCCTCCGAGGGTAGAGGACACCCTCCCTCCCCAGAGACTCCAGATCAGGGAGGCCGCCTCCAGGTCCCAGGGAGATGGAGGGAAAGTACGGCGGGAACTCAGCAAGGGAGCAAAAGGCTGGGATGGGGAGCTGACATGCTGAGGGCTCAGGGAGAGCTGGCGTTACAAGGCCGCGGTTCAAGCTGATTCCCGGCTCCGGGACTCAGACAAGTCGGAGGAGCCTCCGTGTACTCGTCTGGAAAGTGGGGAGAGGCATAGCAAGCTCAGGGTCGTGAGGGTGAGTGTGGTGAAGTGCCCGACAGTGTCCACGTGGCATGTGCAGCGAGGGGACGCCGAGCCCGAGGCCTGAGCAACTCTGGGCGGTGTCGAGGGTGTGGGAGATGAGGAGGAGTCACAGTGAAGACGTTCTCCTCTCCTGTGCTGCTGTGTTTGGGGCCCAGGAGGAGCCCTTGTGATCAGCATGACGGGGGGGAGTGGGGGGGTGCGGGGATCTCGGAGGGAAGCGAATCTGCGGTGGAGCCGAGGACAGGGAGCCTGGGTCACACTGCACACGTTGTTAGGTAGATGTCAGCGAGCTGTTGTCGAAGACGGACAACACAGCCGGTTTCTCAGCACAGAACACTCACAGCCAGGGCGGGCCATGCTGCCCCATTCACTCCGTGGCCACCCAGGACCTGGTCTGTGCCAGGCGTGGGCACAGCAGGTGCGGGAGGAGGGGGGACAAGCACGCAAACAAAGGCAGTGAAGAAATGAGCAGGAGGCAGCCAGGAAGCATGAAGCTATGCTAATCAAGAGGGGAACACCAGCCACTGGTCCCCACGGACAGCGTGCACTCACGGGGGACCCCCAAACAGGGACAGCTCTTCCGGGCCGAAGTCTGCGTGGAGGAAGGCAAAGCTCTCCAAAATGCACTCCATCAAGCTCTCGGCCGAGGCGTGCTCCCGGCGGGCACCGCAGGGCTGTGGGCAGAGTGACCAGTCCCTACAGACCCCCGGGCTCCCACTCACCCAGACACAGCTCGGGGGCACCATTCCAGACCCTCAAAGTCTCCTAGTCACCAGCACTGTGTCAGGGACGGCAGTCTAGCCAGCTGCTCAGCGCACTCCAGCCCCTGTTCCCGCGGGGTGGGGCATGCGAGGGGCTCCCCAGGTCTCTCCTGAACAGCCTTGACAAGAGAGATCAACCGAAACGCCTCACAGGGACAGGGCAAGTGACACAAATGAGTGGGAGGGCTGGGTGGGGGCCGTGGCACACGGGAGGGTCTAGCTGTTGCGCCGCCCCAGCTGGGACACGGCCACCACTTGGGAGCATGAGACCAGTGCTGCTAGCTGGCTAATTGCGAAAAGCCAGAAACATGGATTGTTATGGGAAACCACCTAGGTTCTAAATATCAGCAACTAACTCCAGACTCTTCTAAAAACACGGTGCAGGTCAGGCCAGACCTCACCAGGAGGTGCAGAGGTCACCAGGTGAGCCTCTGGGTCCCAGGGAAACCAGGAGCCCGCCCCCCTCCTCTGTGCTTCAGGGACTGGAGAGGAGACTCGGAGGCAGCCCTGGGGGGCCTCCTAATGGCTGTGCTGTCCCCGGCCTCGGCACCTAGAAAGCCCCTTCTGGGGGCTTCTGTCTTCCTGTCCCTGTGGCTGAACTGCAGGGCTGGTTCCCGCCCCATCCCCAGCACGCCCAGGCCTCATCCATACAAACTGTACCAAAGGCCCAGCTTGAGCCGACACCACCCTGCATGCTATACCTGTGTCCTACAGGGGGCGCCAAATAGAAACCCTGGAGCCACAGAGACTAATACTAAAATTAGGTGTAGAGATTCCATTTCCTGGTAGCAAAGAACGTGTGTATAACATGTACACACATATGCAAGCACATACACACACATACATACACAAGCACATACATACATACTCACATAGATATATGTGTGTGTAATTCCACTTTTAAAAAACTCAAACTAAAAACATAGCCTATAATCATTTTTAGGAGCTCTGGTAGCATAGTGGCTAAGGCACTTGACTGCTAACCAGAAGGCTGGAGGTTCAAACCCACCAGCCACTCCTCGGAAGGAAGGTTGGGCAATCCTACTTCCGTAGTGATACTGCCTCGGAAACCCAAGGAGGGGTCGCTATGAGTCGGAGCCGACTCGACGGCAAATAACAACAACAACAACAACAACATAATCATTTTTAAGGAGCCCTGGTGGTGCAGTGGTTAAGTGCTCAGCTGCTAAGACTAGGTCAGTGGTTCAAACCCACCAGCACCACAGGGAAAAAAGCCTGGAAATCTATTTCCTTAAAGATTAAAAAAAAAAACCAAAACTCAGTCTGGGAAACTATGGGCAGTTCTCCTCTGTCCTGTGAGGTTGCTGTGAGTTGGAATCTACTCGACAACAGTGGGTTTAACTTAGTTTACCAGAATAAAGAAAAGTTCCTTAAAGATGTTTAAAATCATCTACCCAGAACTGCAGTGTTATTTTAACGTTCTTCTATAAAACGGGTGTCATTTTTCTAACTGGACACGTGACAGGAGAACTTGGGTGCTGACTCAAATTGCTCTGCATAAAAACTTAAAAAATACAAAATAAAAAAAGCTGACACTGGTTTTGAAAAATTTTTCTCAAGATTTCCAGGCAAGTTCTTTTTAAAGAGCATAGCGATGGTAAACATGAACACTTATTAAAAACTGCTGGATATAAAATGCTGTGGTGGTGCAGTGGTTAAGGCATTTGACTGCTAACCAAAAGGTTGGTGGTTCGAACCAACGAGCTGCTGTGTGGGAGAAAGATGAGGCAACCTGCTTCCGTAGACATTTACAGCCTTGGAAACCCAGTGTGGGTAGCTAGGAGTCTGAATTGACTCGATGGGAGTGAGAGTGGGTTTTTTCGGTTTGAATGTAAATTGAGAGACTTCCTTTTCTTCCACCTGCGCTGACGCTAAAGTGTCAGAGCTGATTTCTGAAGACGGACACTGGGTTTCTCTGAACTCCTTCGGTGCCAGTGTGTGTTGTATGTACAAGAGAACGGGTTCATCGATTCATTGAGGGATAAGTAGGTGCTACTGTTATACATTTTATTTCACATACATTTAAATTTAGGCAAAAAAAAGAATAATCTGCCCAGGCTGGGCCTCTGTGGACCACCTGCCGCCTAAGCCCTCTGTAGCCTGGCACCAGCAGATGGCCATGGCCCTGCTGAGGGCAGGTGCAGTCAGTGTGGATGACACAGGCTGGCCGCGTGGGGCCTTCCACAGAGCTCTGCTCAGACCCTGAGAGCACCCGAGCTCGGGACTGACAGGCAAGCCACAGCCCCATCGGCCACAGTGGGAAGATGGGCGGGCGGGGGATGTCATGGCCAGGAGTCCTCCCCCCAGCCCGATGAGGGCCTCTGTCGACCCCACTTTACAGATGAGCAAACCGAGGCCCAGAGTGGTCATGCAGGGCCGAGGCCAGGATGCCGACCTGGGCTGACTGGCCCCCGAGCTCCCTCCCGGTCATCATGCTGTCAGCAAGGCAGGACTGCTGGGTGGCAGCGGGTGGCCCTACCTTCAGCCGGTCCCTGAAGCCGAGGACCTGGTACTCCAGCTCCCGGAGCGGGGCCTGGGCGGGGGCCGTGGACTTCAGTAACTCCAAGACCTCCTGCAGGGGCTGCTCGAGCGCCACACCCGGCCTGTCCACTCCGTCCTCGAGCCGTTCTTCATCCTGGCCTTCGAGGCTACCTGGGTCTGCATGGCTGTGCAGTGGTGAGCCCTGTGGCAGGTGGAAGCTTTCTACCCCCAGGTCCCTCCACCCAGGCTGCTCCACGACAAACGTGCCTCCTGCCAGCTGGGCCACCTCTGGCAGGAGGCCCAGAGAAGAGGGGTCCTCACGGGCCTCTTCTTCAATAGATGTATTGGGGCCAAGGGCCAAGGGCAGGAACCCCACATCCGAGGTGGAAGCTGACGTGCTGGTCTCTGTGTCTCGGGGGTCCTCGGAACTGAAGGAGTCCATCTCAGGCAGCTCCTGGCTCTGTCTCTGCAGGCCAGAGCCCCGAAGGTCGCTGTCAGACAGGTAGCTGAGGATGGAGGTGGCCCGCGGCCCACCCAACAGCAAGGCCTGCTGCGGTGGCTGCTGTAGGACAGACTGGAGAGGGGACATAGAGCCAGCTTCACCAGCCACCCCAGGGACCACGCGAGGCCCCTAGAGGGACTGCCCCCCGCCCCAGGCACCTGTTCAGCATATGCCCAGGGTGGTGAGGTCCACCAAGGTGGCCATTGTTCTGGAGGAGCTGCTAGGACCCTGGCCTGGTCTCCACCATCCCCTCGGACTCCGTCCTCTCCAGCCTCAGAAGCGTCCCTGCTGTTCCTCACACCTCCAGGTTCATTCCCACGTTCCCACCGCAGGGCCTTTGCACTGGCCATGTCCTTGGCTCAGAACATTCTTCCCCATGTCTTCCTGGCATGTGCCTTCACCTCCTTCAGGGCCTTACTCAGATGTCCCCTTTTCTGGAACCCATCTCTGGTTACCTTGTTTTAAATGGCAACTCCCCCATGGTGCCCCCATCCCTGCTTATTTTTCTCAGTGGCCCTGACACCCATCAGTGGACTGCACAGTTCTCGGGTTTCGCCTGTTGTCTACTTCCCCCATAGGATGTCAGCTCCCCGAGGGTACAGTGCTCACAGGGCCAAGGACAGAGCCTGGCCCATAGTTCAGAATGAGTGAAGTGAATGAATGAATGAAGGGTGACATACAATACTCAATGGGTGTCTATTCTTTTAAGCACTTCCTATTTATTAGCTCATGTAACCCTCACAATAATCCATGGACTCACACTGTTATTCTCATTTCCCTACTATGGACATTGAAGTCCAGAGAGGTTAAGTCATTTACACAAGACCACACAGCAGGTGAGAGGCAGAGGCAGAATCTGCATCTGGGTTGTTGATTCCAGAATCCATGCTCTTGACCACAGATGCTTTTCTAACAAATGCCCTGGGGCCCACCACATCGGACAAGAACGTTTCCCCTAAATTTACAAGTTACTGGGCTCATGTAAAACCGCCTTCCCCACCTAAGGCCGACAGGAAGTTCACAGGGCTCAGTGTCACCCACAGCACCCTGAGTCGGGGTGCCTCCCCAGGTACAAGGTCACCCCGTGTGCGAATGCCACACCACATTTAATGGGGATGGACTCCCTAGGACCCCAGGATCCCCATGAGGACCACGTGCTTTAGGGCAGCACTCACGCTCGTACAGAACCATGTGTATACAGACTGTCCCCTGCCCCGCAGCTGGTGATAGAAAAACCAGTAACCATCTCAGTCTTGTCGAATAAAGTAAGACACAACTGAATGTGGTCTCCTGAAACCCATTCCAACGCACGGTGACCCTGAAGGACAGAGTAGAACTGCCCCATAGGGTTTCCGGGGCTGTAATCTTTATGGAAACAGAATGCCACAGCTTTCTCCCACGGAGAGGCCGATGGGTTCAAACTGCCGACCTTTTGGTTCGCAGCTGAGCGCTTAACTACTGCACCACCAGGGCTCTCGCAGTGAAGAAAGAGGGAGCCCTCAGGGGGCTGGTGGAGAACAATCTCCAAACAGCAGTGGGCTCAAAGGCTGTGAGGGAGTGTCGGGGTGGGGAGGCACACGCATTCGCTTGTGGATGGAGGGGATGCGGGGAAGGACGTGGAAGAAACGGACGGCAGGGGTTGGCTCTGAGCAGGAGTCCTGGGGCCCTACGAGTCACAGCAGCCAACAACAAAACTATCAAGGCATTACCTTCTGAAAAAATACATGAAATGCAGGTTTAAATGAAGTCACATGAGGTCCACAGCTAGCGAAGGCAGAAACAACAGAGAGCCTGTTCCAGTTGCCCAGGAGAGCCATCCAGACCCAGGACCGAATTCCCGCCCAGAGCCCCCAGAGCAGAGGGGGTGGCAGAGGAGAAAGAGAAGCCCGAGGAGAGCCTCAAAATGAGGAGCGAGGCTGAACTCAGAGCCCGCTGCACCCCGCGGTGTGGCTGCCCAGCCCACCCTGCCTGGCATCCTTGCTGGCGTTGAGGGTCACCCCCCACCTCCCCCAGCCCAGTGAGAGCCCAGCCCTCAGGGGAGGCTCACTCACCAGGTAGTACCTCTCCCTGAAGCTGGGCGTGCTGGGGGGGGTCCAGTTGTACAAGGACCCCTTCCTGCCACCCAGAGACAACTTGCTCGTGGGGCTGGGTGACACTAGGAAGCTCTCAGCATCGAACGGGCTGGAGAAGAGGAGAGAAGGCCAGCTGGGTCACTGAGCCCCAGGGGCCAGCTCGGGCACAGCCAGAACCCAGGGCCTCTGTGGTGATGGGGCGCTGTCGTCCTCTCCCACATGGTGACAGTCAGGACTGAGCATGACTGCAAGGAACCCCACTAACTCTACGTTCGTCCTCTTTCAACCTTCATGTCGGCCCACCGAGGTGGGAAATGAGGAGAAAGGAGGGCTAAGAGAGAGAGAAGGGGCTTGGCCTAGTGGCCCTGGAGACCCCAGCCTGGACATCGCCCAGGGAGAAAGGAGAGCCAGCCCTGGTGGTCAGAGCATCACGGGGACAAAGGGAGTGAGGGGCACAGCCCCCTGGTGCCTGCACACCTGCCCCAGGCCACTGGGAAATAAGGGGTGGGGATTCCCTCAGAAATGCACTTTCACTTGGGAAAGAGCTCTCCTGCCAAAACAGCTTCGGAAACCACCAGCATTCCCTGCAACGTGGTCTACAATGAGCACTAGCATCCCTTCCCAGGGCAGGGACTGTCAACGAAGGTGCCTGCCCCTGGGATCTGCAGCCTTGCACCTCGAAGGTGGCAGGGGCCAGCCAGCCTCCCTGTGAGTATCTCCTAGCTGGAGATGAGGCTCCAACAAGGAAACCAGGTCCCAGACGGTCTTCAATAGTCACTTGTTCAAAACTGGGAATAGAATTCAAACTCAGAGGGCCGGGCCTGCAGAGAACGGTCTGGGAATCAGCCTGTCTGGGGGCAGGGCCTGCAGAGAACGGGAATCAGCCTGTCTGGGGGCAGGAGGTGAGACAGGCCAGAGCATGAGCAGGGATCCCTGGAGGTGGAGCTCAGGGCAGGACCAGCCCTACCAATCACTCAGGCCACCAGGGGGAGCCAGTGAGGCCCTAGCCTCCAGGCCCCTCTGAGCTGAGGACCCCAGGGCCGGAGTTTCCAGCTGCCCCTGGGGAAGGGCAGCGGGGTTGAGGGAAAGTGGTCCCCACTCACTTCCACAGCACCTCCAGCTGCAGCTTGATGGTGCCCAGCTCGGTGATGTCCACCACGATGACCTGGGGCCGGGTCGTGAAGAAGTCGGCAATGTCACAGGTCACTGAGCCCACGGCCAGCGAGCTCAGGCCCCGAAGCTCTGTCACCTGGAGGGGGTGGGGGTGTCTGAGCCGAGGGCCCAGGAGGCCCACTCCCACCCCACCCTCCTCTCCCGTCCCCCGCCACCCCCTCCACCTTGATCTCGAAGTTCTCGTGCAGGGTGGGGACGAAGGCCTTCTCCTCCTCATCCCAGGTCTGGCTGTCATCTGACTCGATCCGGCCCCTGAGCTTCCAGCGCTGGCGGCCCAGGCGCATAAGCACCTGCAGGCGAGATCCGAGAAGAAGCGTGTCGGCCGCCCTAGGTCGGGGCCCAGGACAACCTCCAGCCCACCCTGGCAGCCAAGGGGAAGTGGGGCAGAAATGCAGCTGGGTCCCTGGTTCCCATCAAAGGCCCAGCCAGGTCCCCTAGAGACAGACCCCACCACTGGTGGCTGTACCTCATACTGGTCTCCAGGACAGAGCCTCGCATAGCCCACCAAGCCTGGAACAGAGAGACGCCCAATCGCCCTCCCACGTTCCTGTGACCCTGCCCCTCCCTCAGATCACAGCCCTCACTGTGGGGACCCCTCAAGTGGGTGTCATCTTCAAGGGGGCTGAACCTTCATGATGGACTGCACAGGAGGGGGCCTGGGCCCTCACATCTGAGGCTCAGGAAGGGGTGGGACTTGCCTGAGCTGCGCCTGGACCCTGGGATTCGGCCATTCCCCCACTCCCAGAAGTCCAGGGCCCCCAAGGAGGACTGACACCCACCCAAACCTGCCCTGCCCACGCATGCATGCCCACTACCTTTCATCCGGACGTGGAACTCGCCCAGGTGGACCTCCAGAGCTCCCTCAATGAGCCACATGTCCTGCAAAAGCCCACACGTGGCTCAGCCGTCCGCCCTGCACAGACCCTGCCCTGCAGCCGGAGCCCCAGAGGCCCGGCCACCGCCCGCCCCGAGAAGCCCACCTCGGTGCACTCGTGCAGGCTGCGGCCCAGCTCCTGCAGGCTCTCACGGGAGGCGCGGCTCGGCGGGCACCTGGAGAAGGCCTGCTGCATGTTGGAGGCCCCATCACGTAGGCGGCACTGGATGCAGTAGCCTTCATAGAGCTCATCCACCTGTGGCAGCCAGAGGCCTGAGCAAGCCCCACCCAGGGACCTGGACGGCTGAGTCACTGCTCCCCTAGCCTCCCTCACAGGATGTGGGCCCTCGGGGGCAGTGGCCATGTCCGCCCTGTCCGCTCGGCACACAGTAGGTGCACAGAAATGTGTCATGAACAAATGAACACATCACTTCTCTCTGCCTGATTTTTCTCCCTTTCTACTACAAGAGGAAGAGAGTTTCTGATAGCCTGCCCACCCCTTGGGCTACTGGGAGTGAAGTAAGGCCATGAAAGGTCTGGTAGACTCCAAAGCTTAAGGGACTGGCTGTGTGACCTTTGGCAAATCTTTGTCCCTCTCTGGACAGAAATGTTCCCAACTGTACAATCAGGTGGTTGGAGTCAACCTTCCCAACACTCTAAGACTGCAATGCCTGAGGTCTTTCTGTCTAAACCAAGGAAAGGGTCCACACAGCCCTGGGGGAGCCCCAGTCACCCACTCTGTCCCTTACCCCAGGCCTGCAGTCCTTCAACTGCCCTAAGGCCGGGAATCACCGACAGTCACCACTGCCTCTCCCACTTCCACTCATCATCAGCTTTCTGCAATGCCCCAGAGAGGAGGAAGTGGAGGCTCCCAGCACCCAGAGAAACTGGATGAGGACGTGCAGCCAGGAGACTGCCCTAGTCCCACCCGTGACACCCCAGGGACGTGCAGCCAGGCGACTGCCCTGATCCCACCCCTGACACCCCAGGGCTGGCTGACCTTGCTAATATGAAACTCCATCTTCCGAATGTGCCTCTCCACAGAGCGTGTTTGCTTCTCCGGAAGAAAGAGAAGACGCCTTGAGAGTGGCCTGAGCCTCCCACAAGCCCATGCCACCCTCCTCCTGGTCCTAAGAACAGGGAGGTGGCCTTGGAGCCCAGAGCACCATGACTTTCCCAGAGTAAGGCTCATCACTGAGCCTCAGTTTTCCTACCCATAAAACAGGTGTTCTTCTCAGAGGGTGCTGGGAGTGGGGATGAGGGTACAGCTGGGATTCTAGCCAGGCCGGCAGTCTACCTTGCTTACCATGGGCGGCAGGGGAAGCTGCACTCACCTTATCCAGGTCGTAATAGAAAGCCTGCAGAGAGAAAAGGAGGCAGGAAAGCTGTCAGAGTCCTGGACACCCCTCCACCCTCCAAGGCCCAATGAGGCTGTCCCGGGACCACCCGGACTCAGGATGCCAGAGCCTGCAGCCAGCCCTGCTCTGTCCTCTGAGGCCTGGAGACCACAGGCCATGGTCCAGGCCGAGGAGAAACAGTGAGTGAATACATGGATTTTAGGCAGTTCTAGGCCTGCTCTGCTACTTCCCAGCAGAACCTTGGGCAAGTTACCAGATATCTCAAAGCCTTCATCTTCTCATATGTAAAATAGGACAGGAACAGCACCTACCCCACTGCTTCTGAAAGGTCTCAGGGTGACTGTGAGGAGGAAGGGAGGCAGTAGGTACTCAACTGATGGGAACAATTACCATTTGAGTGTTTAAGGGCTTTAAGAGGTGACTTCAGCCATGATTAGAGGAACAGGACGGGGGACAGGTGTTGGTGCAGCCAATGAAAAGAATGGATTGCCAGGGGCCAACAAACTTGTTCTATAAAGGGCCAGACAGTAAATGCTTTAGGCTTTGCCGACCACAGTGTCTCTGTCACAACTACTCAACTTTGCCTTGTAGAGTGAAAGTGGCCACAGATGATATGTAAACAAATGGGTGTGGTCATGTTCCAATAAAACTTTATTTACAAACACAAAAAACACACAGACCAGGGCCTTTGAGTTAATTTAGACTCACAGCGAGCCCATGTGTGTCAGTGCAGATCTAAGCCCACAGGGTTTTGAATGGCCACGACCCATCAGAGGCAGACTGCAGGACTGTCTTCCAAGGTGCCTCTGGATGGGTTTGAACCGCCAACCTTTTGGTTAGCAGTTGAGCTGCACCACCCAGGGACTCCTATAGAACAGGCTGTAGACTGTCAACCCTTGGATCAGTCAACATATCTGAGGCTGGAGGGATATACAAGGTTGTATCGGGAAGGAAAGCAAGGCGTGAGGCAATACATATGTTACAATTTCATTTTCCTAAGATGACGATTGACCAAAAACCTCTGTGTGCATTTATGGGCATGTTTGAATGACTGTGTGACCAGGAGTAAAAATATGGCCCAATAAGTGTGAGGTTGTCCTCAAGGGTTAAACAAGATGTGTCAGAGAAGGCTGGGAACAGGGGGTCAATGGAAAAGGGAAGAGAAATGATTAAATGCCCCAAAAGCCTGTGTTTTCTCACATTTCTATAAAATTGTACATCTCTGTAAAATTCCATTTCAGTAATGAAGGAATAGGAAAGATCTCAAGCCGTTGAAGAGGGCAGCAACTTCTCAGCACCTGACTTCTGGCCTAAATCAGAGACAGCAGCAGCCAGAGAAGCAGGGCCCCGGTTGTCATTTTGCTGTGTGACCCCCATGTGGCTGCCACCCCCTCCCCGGCCTCGGTGTGCCCACCTGCGAAACGGCAGCAGCTAATACAGTGCACCTTTAGACAGCGCCTACCTCAGGGCTACTTCTAGCACCTAGGGGGAGAGGGAGGGAGGAGCTCTGAGGTGTGGGAACTGTGGCCATTTGGGCCAGAAAGGAATGGGGTGGGTGCTGGGAACTTTCCCTCCCACAGGCAGTGAGAGGCAGGGCTGGGAACTGGGCTGGGATCTCAGGATCTTGGCAGTGTCTCCTTCTACCATCTGCCTCTGGCTCACTCCTGCTCAACACCCTAGGGTGAGGCCTGGCCTTATGTTCCCTGAGGCTGGAGGCTGAGGTCCTGAACCTCCCACTCCTCCAACCTCAAGGTCCTCTCCCCTGAGGGCACAGAGGTGGCTGGATGATGCTTTGATGGAGAAACAACCCTTCTTCTCAGCCCTCTAGTCAAGTGAGAACTTCAGAGTAGGCCTGCTGGCAGCCGCTGGGCAGAGAGGCCCACAGCCAGGTAACCAGTCCTGGTTTTTGTTTCCAAAGTCTAATCCCATTAAGGAGAAGTGGGGCTTTCACAAGGAAGCCTCCATGGGGAGAAAGGGGGCTGGGAGGGCTTCCTAAGACGGAAAGCAAGGTCCTCCCAGCTGGAGGGGTGGAGGAGAGGGCAGTGCCGAGCTGAGCAGCAGGGTCTCGGTGGGGTCGCCAGAGGGAATACAGCATGGCCAGTGACATTTCAATTTCAGATAGACAATAATTTTGCAGTGGAAGTCTGTCCCAAACATTCCACGGGACATTGCTGTTGCTGCAGTTGAGCTGGCTGAGTCATGGGGACTTTATGCACCAGAGAACCAGATGGTGCTTGGTTCTGTAGCATCTTCCGATTTCTGATGTTTGAGCCCTGTCTACTGTGTCAATCCACGTCATGACACTTACACTAAGAAAGCATTTGCTGTTTACCCAAAATCTGCCTGTAATTGCATCCTGTTGTTTTGCTTTTGTTTTCAGGTTTGTTTTGTTTTTGATTTGCTGCATCTGGCTCTGCAAAAACCCACAGCAGGAAAGTCTTGGGCTCAGAGACACTGCCCCCTAACGGCAGGAAAAGTGCAGATCCACTGGATGTCTGGGAACGAGCAGGCTCTTTCAAGGACAGGGCCAGGGGACACGGTGACACACCCAAGGTTTGATGCCTGACCCCTTTCCTGACACATGAGCTGCCCCGACTGCAGGTTGCCTGCGATGGCCAGGGTCTAGAAAACAGGACCAAGCCAACAGCCACAATTCTACCTGTGCCAATCTCAGAGCCAAGGGAGAACAGGAAGTGAAATACTGCACAGGGAATGGGGGGCGGGCAGATGCAGGAAGCATCCCACCAGCCTGCAGGCAAGGGCAGGGCCAGAGTCAGGTCAGTTCATCACAGTATCTAGAAAGGCTACTCCTCAGTCTCAGGGTTCTGCCGGCAATGAGTGAGGGGTCCATCTCTGAACCCTGGGCAAGGCTGCATGGCTGGGAGGGCCGGGGTGGCATCTCACCAGTCTGGAGTTCCGCCGGGTGTCCTTGTGGCGTCCAGACAGGTGATCCAGCTCGGCCTGCTGAATACACAGGTGTTCCCTGCAACGAGAACGAGGAGAGGAGCTTTGCATTTAAGGTGGAAAAGACGCAGGCGGTGGCTGGCTCCAGCGTGGACACAGCCACCGTCACGGGCATGGAAGGCGGTCACGGGCAGGCCTCAGAGGCCAGAGGGCACAGAGCCGTCAGAGCCATCCCCACCGCCAGCCCCTGCTCACTGGGCCTCCAGCTCCCACACCCCAGCACCACAGCATGGGTTACAGGGAAGCTCTGGGTTAAATCCTAAACACTCCGCAAACAGGTCCTAGTGTATCATACCCATTTCAGAGATGGGCAATGTGACCCACAAAGGTGGAAAGCAACCTGGCCCAGCGGTGGTGTCAATGGGGTTGGTGTGGACTTGCACCCCTACCAGACCATACAGAATCCTTAGTAATGTTTTTTTGTTGTAATCTTACTCATAAATCATAATTCCCATATATTACTGAATACAATGGCAATAGTAATGATACAAACAAGTAGCAAAACTGAAACTACACCTTTAAATTACAATAGCACATGTGGACAAAACCAAAGGGTCACTGTCATTGGCTAATAATGACAGCTGTGACCTGAGCCCATTACAAGGTTCAAGCAGTAAGTGACCATAGAGTTTTCACCTTTAGGTATATTGCTACACAGAAGCTGGGCTTACAAAACATGTTTTTGGTATTATACAGATACAGGGACATTTTATTCTTTTATTTTAAATTTTATTGTGATTTGGGTGAAAGTTTGCAGAGCAAATTCATTTTCCATAAAGCAGTTCATACGCATTTTGTCTCATGACATTGACTGCATTTCCCCACAGTGTAACAGCTCTCTTCCTACTTCCTAATATACGGATATTTTATAAAAAATAATAAATTTTTGTTGAAATGCTACACAAAATTGTTACAGACAGTCATTTTGGTGTCACTCTCTCGCCCGGTATGGTCTGCACCCCCCGCACCTCCCTAGTGACATCACTGGTCCCCATCAGAAAAGAGGCTGTACCCATAGCTGGGTTCAGTTCTGGCCTCCAGAAGTCCCAATCTTCCCCTTCACGTGCAGCCCTCCCAAGCTCAGCTGCACCCCGTGAGGAGGTCAGCATGCCTTCATGAACGAGGGCAAAGGGGCTGGCTGGGTACCCCAGGGCCGAGGACCAGAGGGGCCTGGGAAAGCCGTGCTGAAGGCACAGAGGACGATGGGGGCCTGGTGGGTGCTTCACCTCATGTTTCCCAGCCCAAGGGACTAAGACAGGAAATGCAGGGTCTGCACTTGGGGGGCCCCGTCCCGCTGCAGCGTGAGTTTGCTGGGTCACCGGCTCTGGGCTGCCCTACACCACTGCAAACGCGGAAGGTGCAGCTTTTCCCAGGACATTGCTCTCTTGGGGGCTTGGGCTCCCAGGGAGGAAGGGGGCCCACCCACTCCAGACAAGTCTCCAACATGCAGTCCTTACAGGACACCAGGAGCCGCCCTGGGAGGTGACACCTGTGCTGGGGCAGGCTCCCACCTTCCACACACACACACCCAGCACTCACTCTGCAACAGCATGGGGTAGGGGCTGCATTATGGGAGGAGGGAGAGAGGCACCTCCTGGTGTGGGGACGAGGCCTGGGGTCGGGGGAGGGAAGCGACATTCATCCTGAGCCCAGGCGGGACCTCCCGGAGAGGGTCAGTGTTGGCCCTGGAGTGGATTTCATGGCCTCAATCCTACCCCAGGAACCTGGTGGCACAGTGGCTAAAGTATCCAGCTGTTAACCAAAAGGTCAGTGGCTCGAACCTACCAGCTGCTCTATGAGAGAAAGAGGAGGCAGTCTGCTTCTGTAAAGATTAGAGTCTTGGGACAGTTCTACTCTGTCCTAGAGGGTCGCTAGGAGTCGGAATGGCCTCAACAGCAGTGGGTTTTGAATGCTCCTCTTGGTTACGGCCATGTGATTCTAGATGAGTTGTTCCCCATCTCTGGGCCTCAGTTTCCTTGTCTGGAGAAGAGGCTAACACAACCTCTCTGGTAGTGTTCTTGCAAGGCTTTCAAGGACTCAACACATACAAAGCCCTGAACAAACGGCAGGGCCTACTGCAGCTGTCCTCATTTATGGGGATGAAGAACAGCGGCACCAGGAGGTGGAGAGCTGGGAAAGGCATTCCAGGAAGAAGGAACAGCATTCCATTCCCTGAGCTCAGCGCTGGACTGGAGACTGAAGGAGCTGCAGACTCCCGTGTCCCTCACCGCCCTCCCAAGGGGGAGGGCGGGGGCTGAGCAAAAGCAGAGCACAGACAGACGCGTGAAGAAAGATGGCACATTTCAGGATGTTGTCACAGACAGACGCGTGAAGAAAGATGGCACATTTCAGAATGCTGTTGTTAGTGCCCTCGAGTCAGCTCCGACTCGTAACAACCCTATGTACAACAGAACCGAACACTGCCTTGCTATGTGACAGCCTGGCAAGCCTTGCTACACCTGGGCCCATCGTTGTAGCTACCACATCAATCCATCTTGTTGAGGGCCTTCCCCTTTTTTGCTGACCCTCCACTTTGCCAAGCATGACATCCTTCTCCAGAGAATGGTTCCTTCTTACAACACGACCAAAGCAGGTGAGACGAAGTCTGGCCATTCTCGCTTCCAAGGAGCATTCTGGCTGCACTTCCTCCAGGACAGATTTGTTCATTCTTCTGGCAGCCCATGGCACTTTCAGTACTCTTTGGCAGCACCACAACTTAAAAGCATCAACTCTTCTTCATCTTCCTTATTCATTGGCCAGTTCTCACATGCATATGAGGCGACTGAAAATACCATGGCTTGGGTTAGGCGCACCTTAGTCTTCAAAGAGACGTCTTTGCTCTTCAGCACTTTTAAAGTCTTTTAGGTCTTTTGCAGTAGATTTGCCCAATGCAATGTGTCATCTGATGTCTTGACTGCTGCCTCTATGGGTGTTGGTTGTGGAACCAAGCAACATTTCAGGATTGGGGGTGAATAAAGAGGGAAAGTCTTGAAAGGTTGAAGGTCAGATTATAGAAGGGCCTGGAGTGTCCTCCCAAGGGCAGTCGGGAGCCATGGAAGAAACGTGAGCATAGGAGGGATTAGCTGTGGAGAAGGGTGTGGGGGCGAGGAGCCCAGCGCTGTAAGAGCCGCAAGGAACTGCAGCAAACAGACCCAGGAGAAAGGGGGAGAGGAACTAAGCCAGTGGGGGAGGACGGAGTGGGGTTGAGAGCTACTGAGCAGCTGTGACCGAGGGGGCTTGGTAGGTAGCTCCACACGCGAAGAGAAGGTAAGCCTGTTAGGGAGGTCAGGATGCCACCCACTTAAACTAGAGTGCACACTGACTTTGGGCAGTGACAAACAGCTGAGACCATGTACCCACCTCGGGGAGAACCCTCTCGCTCAGAGCCAGCTCTGACTCTTACTCTAGACACAGTGGTCACAAGCCGGGAATTCTGGCTTCTCAACCGTGGGCACATGACATGGGGGAAATGGTAGAGGAGAGCTGAGAGCCCTGCCTGGGAAGAGACAGAAGGAGCAACAGTCCAGGGGCCAGCAGCACCCCCTCACCTCTGTAGCTGCTAGACTCACCCCTGTAGTGCAGTGTTGGGGCCACTGAGCCCCGGAGGGAGCACTGCCAGCGCGTCCCCCAGTCCTCATGAACTGCTCTCCAAGACGGGAGGGTGGCTTGTCTGACTGGTGAGAAAGTGACTCTGCCCCTTCCCCTCCCTTTCAGACGGGAGGAAAGGCTGCAGGGAGAGACCCCAGGGAGACTGCGCCCTGGGAACGGGGAAGGGAAGTGCTGCTAGCTGAGGGGCAGAGGGGCAGGAAGCCAGCTCTGTCCTGCCATGAGCTGGCCTCCTCCACCGCAGCCTCCACCAGGCTAGCCTCCACATCCTCCACACTTGCTTCAAAACTCAGAGCCAATCCGAGGGCATGGTTCCTCACACTCAACCCCGGTATTTAGGATCAACGTAACATTTCTAGAGAGAACTCCATTGACCACGAAGCCTGGTGTAATATAGCATCTTTTCCTTCAGTGTCCTGCTTGAATGCCTGTTTATAATTTTTGAAGTTAAGCAAGAAGACATACTTTGAAAACCATTTTGTTCTAAGGTCATTTACAGTTTTCATCAACTCTGGTTCCTCTTGGGGTGATCAGCTGCCTCATTCATAAATAAGGGTGAGCTGGGGAGAAATTGTCTATCTGCTCTGATATCTGGGGATCGGTGTCCCCTTCATCTCCTGCCTTATCCCTGCTGTGTCCCCAGCACCCTGGCCACACCCAGGACATGCCTGTTGACAACACCAACAAGCAGGACTCCCCCTGTGCCCTCTCACAGACAGGACCCAAGCTAGAGGCAGAGAGAAGGCCGGCAAGGCAAAGGACGCACAGAAAAGCAACAAGCACCCGTCCTTACTCGAGGCCCCTCTTCAGCGCTCCGAAGATTTTCTTCACTTGCTGGGGCTTGGGGTCCAGGCAGACAGAGCCCTTCCGCAGCGTCCCGTACATCCTGGAGGGTTTGGCCGGCATCCGTGACCTCACAGAGTTCCTGTTGATGGATTTTCTGGGAGAAGGGATGGGATGGAAGGGAGGGGAGGGGTCAGAGCAGGGTGTGGACAAGCCCTCCCTAGGGCAGGCACTTTGAGAAGAGTGGCAAAGCCCCCGTCCTAGTTCCACCCGTTGCCACCAAGCCACATCGTCTCAGGGGCATTCGACACTCTCTGGGCCTCAGTTTCCACATCAGTAAAATGAGGGACTGAATTTGAGCATTTAAAATAATAATAATAAACACCTGATATCAGACACTAATTTACAGTGAGAAATACAACCCAGTAGGCCAAACACAACACTCTGACCAGCATGTTCTAGTCAGCAACATGGGGGGCCAAATTGTTTACTGGGTCCCATGGTTTACTAGTGTTTACATGGTTTACATGCTTACTAGTCCCATGGTTTGCTGGGGAGGTTTTGCCTGCCCACCCCCAGCCCCCTGTTAACAGCACCTCAATTTTCCTCTGGAATAGCTCCCCAACCTTGATCTTCATCTGTGTGCTTTTGGGAGGGTGAACCACCCACATACATGCACACACATACACCCATGTACACACATATACACACATACATAGGCATTCTGAGGCAAACCACATCCTAGGCCTAGGAAGTCAACACAATTCACTTTCATAGCCCAGGAGGAGGTGGGCATCCCCGTCTGGCAGTAACCAGCCAGGAGCTGGGTTCAGAATTCACAGGAGGAAGATTCTTTGCACTGGCATTGCTAAAACTGGGGACACGCACCTAGAACTTCCAGCGGCCACTTCTGCCTTCATGTGGGGGGAATAAAGTCAACGCAAAGGGAAACAGAGCAGCAGAGAGATGGAGTCAGACCAGACCCACATGGCAAGGAGTGCCTGGATCCAGGTATGCCTGAAG